ACTAGACTATAGACTAGACTATAGACTAGACTATAGACTAGACTATAGACTAGACTATAGACTAGACTATGGACTAGACTATAGACTAGACTATAGACTAGACTATAGACTAGACTATAGACTAGACTATAGACTAGACTATAGACTAGACTATAGACTAGACTATAGACTAGACTATAGACTAGACTATAGACTAGACTATAGACTAGACTATAGACTAGACTATAGACTAGACTATAGACTAGACTATAGACTAGACTATAGACTAGACTATAGACTAGACTATAGACTAGACTATAGACTAGACTATAGACTAGACTATAGACTAGACTATAGACTAGACTATAGGCTAGACTATAGACTAGACTAGACTAGACTAGACTAGACTATAGACTAGACTATAGACTAGACTATAGACTAGACTATAGACTAGACTATAGACTAGACTATAGACTAGACTATAGACTAGACTATAGACTGGACTATAGACTAGACTATAGACTAGACTATAGACTAGACTATAGACTAGACTATAGACTAGACTATAGACTAGACTATAGACTAGACTATAGACTAGATTATAGACTAGATTATAGACTAGATTATAGACTAGACTATAGACTAGACTAGACTATAGACTAGACTATAGACTAGACTATAGACTAGACTATAGACTAGACTATAGAGTAGACTATAGACTAGACTATAGACTAGACTATAGACTAGACTATAGACTAGACTATAGACTAGACTATAACTAGACTATAGACTAGACTATAGATTAGACTATAGACTAGACTATAGACTAGACTATAGACTAGACTATAGACTAGACTATAGACTAGACTATAGACTAGACTATAGACTAGACTATAGACTAGACTATAGACTAAGACTATAGACTAGACTATAGACTAGACTAGACTATAGACTAGACTATAGACTAGACTTAGACTAGACTATAGACTAGACTATAGACTAGACTATAGACTAGACTATAGACTGGACTATAGACTAGACTATAGACTAGACTATAGACTAGACTATAGACTAGACTATAGACTAGACTATAGACTAGATTATAGACTAGACTATAGACTAGACTATAGACTAGACTATAGACTAGACTATAGACTAGACTATAGACTAGACTATAGACTAGACTATAGACTATACTAGACTATAGACTAGACTATAGACTAGACTATAGACTAGACTATAGACTAGACTATAGACTAGACTATAGACTAGACTATAGACTAGACTATAGACTAGACTATAGACTAGACTAATAGACTAGACTAGACTAGACTATAGACTAGACTATAGACTAGACTATAGACTAGACTATAGACTAGACTATAGACTAGACTATAGACTAGATTATAGACTAGACTATAGACTAGATTATAGAATAGACTATAGACTACATTATAGACTAGATTATAGACTAGATTATAGACTAGACTATAGAGTAGACTATAGACTAGACTATAGACTAGACTATAGACTAGACTAGACTAGACTATAGACTATAGACTAAGACTATAGACTAGACTATAGACTAGACTATAGACTAGAATATAGACTAGACTATAGACACTAGACTAGAACCTACTAGACTATAGACTACTAGACTAGACTATAGACTAGACTATAGACTAGACTATAGACTAGACTATAGACTAGACTATAGACTAGACTATAGACTAGACTATAGACTAGACTATAGACTAGACTATAGACTAGACTATAGACTAGACTATAGACTAGACTATAGACTAGACTATAGACTAGACTATAGACTAGACTATAGACTAGACTATAGACTAGACTATAGACTAGACTATAGACTAGACTATAGACTAGACTATAGACTAGACTATAGACTAGACTATAGACTAGACTATAGACTAGACTATAGACTAGACTATAGACTAGACTATAGACTACACTATAGACTAGACTATAGACTAGACTATAGACTAGACTATAGACTAGACTATAGACTAGACTATAGACTAGACTATAGACTAGACTATAGACTAGACTATAGACTAGACTATAGACTAGACTATAGACTAGACTATAGACTAGACTATAGAGTAGACTATAGAGTAGACTATAGACTAGACTATAGACTAGACTATAGACTAGACTATAGACTAGACTATAGACTAGACTATAGAATAGACTAGACTATAGACTAGACTATAGACTAGACTATAGACTACTAGACTAGACTATAGACTAGACTATAGACTAGACTATAGACTAGACTATAGACTACACTATAGACTAGACTATAGACTAGACTATAGACTAGACTATAGACTAGACTATAGACTACACTATAGACTAGACTATAGACTACACTATAGACTAGACTATAGACTAGACTATAGACTAGACTATAGACTACACTATAGACTATAGACTAGACTATAGAGTAGACTATAGACTAGACTATAGACTAGACTATAGACTAGACTATAGACTAAACTATAGACTACACTATAGATTACACTATAGACTAGACTATAGACTAGACTATAGACTAGACTATAGACTAGACTATAGACTAGACTATAGACTAGACTATAGACTAGACTATAGACTAGACTATTGACTAGACTATAGACTAGACTATAGACTAGACTATAGACTACACTATAGACTAGACTATAGACTAGACTATAGACTAGACTATAGACTATAGACTACTATAGACTAGACTATAGACTACACTATAGACTACGACTATAGACTAGCTTAGACTAGACTATAGACTAAACTATAGACTAGAACTATAGACTAGACTATAGACTAGACTATAGACTAGACTATAGACTAGACTATAGACTAGACTATAGACTAGACTATAGACTAGACCTATAGACTAGACTATAGACTAGACTATAGACTAGACTATAGACTAGACTATAGACTAGACTATAGACTAGACTATAGACTAGACTATAGACTAGACCTATATACTAGACTATAGACTAGACTATAGACTAGACTATAGACTAGACTATAGACTAGACTAATAAGACTAGAACTATAACTAGACTATAGACTAGACTATAGACTAGACTATAGACTAGACTATAGACTAGACTATAGACTAGACTATAGACTAGACTATAGACTAGACTATAGACTAGACTATAGACTAGACTATAGACTAGACTATAGACTAGACTATAGACTAGACTATAGACTAGACTATAGACTAGACTATAGACTAGACTATAGACTAGACTATAGACTAGACTATAGACTAGACTATAGACTAGACTATAGACTAGACTATAGACTAGACTATAGACTAGACTATAGACTAGACTATAGACTAGACTATAGACTAGACTATAGACTAGACTATAGACTAGACTATAGACTAGACTATAGACAGACTATAGACTAGACTATAGACTAGACTATAGACTAGACTATAGACTAGACTATAGACTAGACTATAGACTAGACTATAGACTAGACTATAGACTAGACTATAGACTAGACTATAGACTAGACTATAGACTAGACTATAGACTAGACTATAGACTAGACTATAGACTAGACTATAGATAGACTAGACTATAGACTAGACTAGACTAGACTATAGACTAGACTATAGACTAGACTATAGACTAGACTATAGACTAGACTATAGACTAGACTATAGACTAGACATAGACTAGACTATAGACTAGACTATAGACTAGACTTTTAAAACTATAGACTAGACATTAGACTGGACTATAGACTAGTTGATTGAAAAATGAAGAGTATATCATAACATAAATTATTCGCTTGTCAGAAGGAAAATGTTTAAGATCAAATCTAGAGTTGAGTCAGATGTGGTTTAAGGTCACTAAATCAGACATTTTCTGCAACAAACTGATGATTTTGAAGAGCAAAAAAACCATTAAAATGATCATAACAAAGCAATGACATATTTATGTTATTTTGCAAAATGTTTGTAAAACGATCGTGCCAATGTGATCTACAAACATTAAAATGATCTATTGATATGACTCATTTACTATTTCCCAATCGCCTTAAAATGCAGCTAATGATCATGACATCTTTTGTAAGTGTTAAACAATAACAACACCTCGCTCAAAAGTAATGATATGTAATACATGTAATGTTTTATGATAGATATAACTGATGATCAAAAACTCACTTCTCACGCTATTCATAGCCAATATATAATTTTAGATTTGACATATGGCCAAAATGGGGGGAAAACACAACCTACCACAAATATAAATTAAAAACTTAAATGTATAATTTGATATATGAAATACAACATAATTGGAATGAAACGCTATAAAATTTTATACATAAAATCAATTAAAAATCATAAAATATTAAAGTAACGGCAGGAATATTAATGACGAAGAGGAGGGTTTATGGTGAGAAAGAAAGAGAGAGCTTATGAGGTGAAGATCATTTAAAACTTTGTGAGAGTAAAAGGGTAGAAGCTAGAAAAGTACAGTGCGTAAGTTGAAGCATTATTTGTTTAAAAACGTGTGGAGAATTTTAATTATTTTTGAAAATTAAAGAAAAATACAAGACACAAAATATTTTCTGGTATTTAATTATTCAAAGAGAGTGAAACCGAATTATTTTTTTTTATTTGGTTTCAGTTATCAATTATTTATGCAAAAAATGCATTTAAACAGCGGCTTATAAAATCAAATTTTGGAGTGAATAAATTTGGAATTAAATATGCGCGCCCAATAGTATTAAATAAACAAAAAATAATTGCAAAATAGTTGTATTATATCAGTTTAACTACGTTTTAAACGATAGTGGGGGATTATTAAACACACACGTAGTGAGAGAGTTAAAAAAAAAAAACGAGAGAGAGAGAGAGCGAGCGAGAAATCATCACTTAGACCTCAGTTATAATGGTCAATCACTGATGTTTTACGAAAGACATCCGCTTTATAAATACACCATAAACCAAGGAAGTCCATTTCATTGTGCAAACAACAACTGACGGGTTGACATTAAACTCACTACCCAGTTTTGTCAGCCAACTACGGTTTTGAACTACGATTACATAACTTGGATTAAATACATTAAAAAGAAATAAATAAAAAGAAGAAAACAAAAAAAAAAAAAGAAAAAATGAAAGTGTTTACCTTGACTTTGCTGGCCGTTTTGCTAGTGGGAGCCTCGAGTGCGGCCAAAATAAGACGTGGCGAAAAACGTGCTGCTTTAGAAGAAACCAAACCCACAGAAACAGAAGATGCTACGAAAGCGGAAATATCTGAAGCCGATACCGATAAAAAGGAGAAAGAGGTTCATAAGAGAGGCATTTTCCATCATGGTGGTGCTTTAGCGGCTCCCGTTAGTTTATGGCCTAAAACTTATGCTGCTCATTATGGCTATGGTTTACGTTTGCCTGCCTCCTCTGGCTTTTCAGTAGCTCCTTTGGCTGCTGCTTCAGGTCATTCGTATGGTCCCGCTGTTTTGAAATATAACTCCGGTTTCCATTATAAAACTTTGGCTGCTCCTTCTGTTTTCTCCGGTGTATCCAGTTTAGGTGGTGTTTCTGGTTTAAGTGCCGCTTTTCCCACCTACGCCAGTCTAAGTCCTGCTGTAGCTCATGTTCTTCAAGCTGCCACCGCTCAGCCTTTTATCATTAGACCCGGTGGTGCTGTTGTTCAGTCCTACAGTGTTACTTATCCTCATCATAAAGCTGCTGTAGCTGTAAAACCTGTTCATGCTTTTGCTTCGGTAGCTCCTGTACAACCTGCCGTTGCCGTGCAACCTGCTGTTCAACATGTTCAACCTGCCGTAGCTGCTGTACAACCTGTTCACACTTTCCAAACTGTAACACAACATCTGCATCCTGTACAACCTGTCCAACCCGTACAACCTGTAGCTGCTGTCCAACCTGTTCAACCCGTGGCCGCTGTACAACCAGTCCATCACTTGCAACCCGTTCAGCCAGTGCAACATTTGCACCCGGTACCACCGGTTCAATCTGTTGTTCAAGTACAACATTTTAAACCACCCGTACATTACGATGTCACTCAACAATTTCCTTCATTTTTCCAGACCTCCTTTGTACAACCCGCCCCAGTTCCTGCCCTGCCCCAAAATCCTGCTGTAGCCTTTAGTCCCGCTCAACCTAACTTCCCTAATATTCCCACTTTCCCTAATCCTGCTGCTTTCCCTACTATACCCTCAGTGCCCGCTACTCCCGCCCAGCCTGCAGTACCAGCTGTTCCTGCTACTCCTACTATTCCCACCATTCCCTCTATTCCCAATTTCCCTCAACCCCAGGTACCCACCAACGGTTTCTTCCCCGTTAATGTACAACCTCCTTTGCAGCAACAGCCCCCCGCCTTTAACGGCGTCCATCCTCAGGCCCAATTCCCTGGTTTTGGTCCCATTGCTGGTAACAATCCTGATGTGGGTAGTGCCGAAGCCGCTCCACAAATTCCCGTACAACCTGAACCCAGTCCCGAGCCAGAATTGCCCACACCACAACCCCAGCCTACTCAACAGCCTTGGAAGCCTGTTTTGTATCAACCTCCCACTGTTGAGAGTCATGTGAATCGTCCTTCTCACACATTGTTGCCTCCTTATGGTAACTCTCCTGCTGAAGGTAAGAGCATGATTTTTATGTCTAACACTAATACACTTACAGTTTTAAACTCTCTTTTACATTACATTTACTCTAAAACAGATCTAAAAAGCTTTAGACTTAAAGCTTTAAAGACTAACAAACTTTTTATTTCTAGGTAAACATATTTAAAGGATTTCTTTGAAGGAATGGGTTCCTTCCTAATTAAGGAAATTTTTAAAAATTGAAAAGCTTATCAAAAGTTTCTAGATCAAAAACATTGGTTTTCTTAAAATTCAAATGCTTTTGTTTGACAAAGAAGCTTTTGGAAAGCTATTTAAAATTTGATCTTCAAAACTCTGATTGAGTTGTAATTTAGCAGATCTCTCAGCATCACATTTAAAGCTTAAAAACAGTTTAAAATAGCTATTTTTTAAAACCGCAAGCTTTATTGTATGAATGGACTAATTCCACTTCTAATGTTCTTGAATCAGTACCGCTGGATATCCTAAGTCGAAAGTTTTTGTTAAGGCGATGAGCTTTTGAATTTAAACTTTTAATTTTAATTAATCGCTTTTAAGTCGAAAGCTTTATATTGTCGATCATTACAATTTCTTCAGATTGATTCTTTTGGAGAAAAACTTACAGAATGTTTCCTAAATTTAAACTTAACACCATTTTCAAAGCTCAAAAATAGTGCAAAAAGCTTATTTGGTTGTTCATTTCAATTTCTTCAGATTGATTCTTTTGAAGAAAAACTTATGAAAAGTTTCTTTCTAATTAAGTTCCAGCTTGCCAGAATCTGAAAAATATGGGTGCATTTGTTGATGAGAATTGGAAGCTTTCCTGACATTTTTTACAGAAAAATGTTTGACAATTTCTCTGTTTGAGCACCAGATTTGTAGATTTGCCAACATTAGCTCTAAAGCTTAAAAATATCATCGGTTTTCCTTAAAGTTCGGAGCTTTCTTGATGTTTGTTCTCGTGAAGTAAAATTTATGAAAATTTCTTTCAAATTTGAACTTTAAAGCTGCGATTAAGAACCAGTTTAGAAGATATCGTAGCATCAATGGGATTTAATGGAACTTCAAGAGCGACAATCCTTCATTTCCTTTGATAGCGCATTACAGACATAATCAACCACACAAACGCAAAATCTCACATTTTAATACTTCTTACACCTTTAAATTTCCTGAAACTTTTACACTTCCTCAGACATTTCCCACACCTCAAACCTATACCTACTCAACCTCTTTCCTTAACCAATCCTATATTAATTCCTCTAAAAAACAGCTTAATTCAAACACACCTTTCTGTTCCTTAATCCCATCGCTTACTCCTCTAGGTTACCTTCCTCCCGCTCCCTCTTCACAAAATGGTAAACTCCAACAGGAATACACCATCGATAGCAGTCTATTCGATAATCTCTCCGATGCTGATATTCAAAATATCTTTGCCCAGGCCAGTTTAGCTGCTCATCGTGATCATCATCATCATACAGTGCACAACTATCACACTCGTTTCTAGATCAACGAGTTCGTTGAAAGGCGAAAGCAGTTCATTAATATAACGAATTTTTTCATAAATTTATATTCGTAGAAAGTTAAGTAGGAAAGTTCTCAGTGTTTTTGTAGAGCTTATAAATTCAAAAACGAAACTTAAAGGCCAAAGTATTTTTAAGTTAGTAATTCAGGAATATGTTTGTGTGTGTTTTCTACTTGAAAGCCACCAATTTGCAGTGTATACTTTAAGGCTTAAATTTTAGTTATTAATTAGAATATTGTATTTTGTATGTAGTTAATATTTATTACAAATTTTTTATTGTTTCTTAAATTGTAAGAATAAAACAGAAAATATAATATTGAAAAATATAAAATTTGCGAGGGAGAATATTTATTCTATTAAGGGAGATATAGTAGTATAAACAAGCTACTCCGAATGTTAAAGTTCCAGTTTAGTCCAGACTATAGACTATTCTAGAGTCCAGATATAGACTATTCTATAGTCCAGACTATAGACTATTCTATAGTTCAGACTATAGACTATTCTATAGTCCAGACTATAGACTATTCTATAGTCCAGACTATAGACTATTCTATAGTCCAGACTATAGACTATTCTATAGTCCAGACTATAGACTATTCTATAGTCCAGACTATAGACTATTCTATAGTCCAGACTATAGACTATTCTCTAGTCCAGACTATAGACTATTCTATAGTCCAGACTATAGACTATTCTATAGTCCAGATTATAAACTATTCTATAGTCCAGATTATAAACTATTCTATAGTCCAGACTATAGACTATTTAAAAGACCAGACTATATACCATTATATAACCCAGACTATAGACTAGTCCATAGTCCAGACTATTTACTATTCTATAGTCCAGAATATAAACTATACTATAATCCAGACTATAGGCTATTCTATAGTCTAGACTATACTACAGTCCAGACTACACTATAGTCCAAACTATAGAATATACTATAGTCCAGACTATGGTCTATAGTCCAGACTATAAACTATACTATAGTCCAGATTATAGACTATTCTATAGTCCAGACTATAGACTATTCTATAGTCCAGACTATTAACTATTCCATAGTCCAGTCTAAAGACTATTTTATAGTCCAGAGTATAGACAATTCTATAGTCTAGATCTTAGACTATTTTATAGTCCAGATCACGGACTATTCTATAGTCCAGACCACTGACTATTCTATAGACTATTCTATAGTCCAGACTATTGACTATTCTATAGTCCAGACTATTGACTATTCTATAGTCCAGACTATAGACTATTCTATAGTCCAGACTATAGACTATTCCATAGTCCAGACCATAGACTATTCTTTAGTCCAGACTATAGAATATTCTATAGTCCAGAGTATAAACTATTCTATAGTCCAGACTATAGACTTTTCTATAGTCCATACTATAGGCTATTCTATAGTCCAGACTATAGACTATTCTATACTCCAGACTATGGACTATTCTATAGTCCAGACTATAGACTATTTTATAGTCCAGACTATAGACTATTCTAGAGTCCAGACTATGGATTATTCTATAGTTCAGACTATAGACTATTCTAGAGTCCAGACTATAGACTATTCTATAGTCCAGACTATAGACTATTCTATAGTCCAGACTATAGACTATTCTATAGTCCAGACTATAAACTATTCTATAGTCCAGACTATAGACTATTCTATAGTCCAGACTATAGACTATTCTATAGTCCAGACTATAGACTATTCTATAGTCCAGACTATAGACTATTCTATAGTCCAGACTATAGACTATTCTATAGTCCAAACTATAGACTAATCTATAGTCCAAACTATTGATTATTCTATAGTCCAGACTATAGACTATTCTATAGTCCAGACTATAGACTATTCTATAGTCCAGACTATAGACTATTCTATAGTCCAGACTATAGACTATTCTATAGTCCAGACTATAGACTATTCTAGAGTCCAGACTATAGACTATTCTATAGTCCAGACTATAGACTATTCTAGAGTCCAGACTATAGACTATTCTATAGTCCAGACTATAGACTATTCTATAGTCCAGACTATAGACTATTCTATAGTCCAGACTATAGACTATTCTATAGTCCAGACTATAGACTATTCTATAGTCCAGACTATAGACTATTCTATAGTCCAGACTATAGACTATTCTATAGTCCAGACTATAGACTATTCTATAGTCCAGACTATAGACTATTCTATAGTCCAGACTATAGACTATTCTATAGTCCAGACTATAGACTATTCTATAGTCCAGACTATAGACTATTCTATAGTCCAGACTATAGACTATAGTCCAGACTATAGACTATTCTATAGTCCAGACTATAGACTATTCTATAGTCCAGACTATAGACTATTCTATAGTCCAGACTATAGACTATTCTATAGTCCAGACTATAGACTATTCTATAGTCCAGACTATAGACTATTCTATAGTCCAGACTATAGACTATTCTATAGTCCAGACTATAGACTATTCTATAGTCCAGACTATAGACTATTCTATAGTCCAGACTATAGACTATTCTATAGTCCAGACTATAGACTATTCTATAGTCCAGACTATAGACTATTCTATAGTCCAGACTATAGACTATTCTATAGTCCAGACTATAGACTATTCTATAGTCCAGACTATAGACTTTTCTATAGTCCAGACTATAGACTATTCTATAGTCCAGACTATAGACTATTCTATAGTCCAGACTATAGACTATTCTATAGTCCAGACTATAGACTATTCTATAGTCCAGACTATAGACTATTCTATAGTCCAGACTATAGACTATTCTATAGTCCAGACTATAGACTATTCTATAGTCCAGACTATAGACTATTCTATAGTCCAGACTATAGACTATTCTATAGTCCAGACTATAGACTATTCTATAGTCCAGACTATAGACTATTCTATAGTCCAGACTATAGACTATTCTATAGTCCAGACTATGGACTATTCTATATTCCAGACTATAGACTATTCTATATTTCAGACTATAGACTATTCTATAGTCCAGACTATGGACTATTCTATAGTCCAGACTATAGACTATTCTATAGTCCACACTATAGACTATTCTATAGTCCAGACTATAGACTATTCTATAGTCCACACTATAGACTATTCTATAGTCCAGACTATAGACTATTCTATAGTCCAGACTATGGACTATTCTATAGTCCAGACTATGGACTATTCTATAGTCCAGACTATGGACTATTCTATAGTCCAGACTATGGACTATTCTATAGTCCAGACTATAGATTATGTTATAGTCCAGACTTTAGACTATTTAATAGTCCAGACTGAAGGCTATTCTATAGTTCAGCCTATATACTATTCCATATTTCAGACTATAGACTATTCTATAGTCCATACTATAGACTATTCTATGCTCCAGACTATAGACAATAGTCCAGACTATAGACTATTCTATAGTCCAGACTATAGACTATTCTATAGTCCAGACTATAGACTATTCTATAGTCCAGACTATAGAATATTCTTTAGTCCAGACTATGGACTATTCTATATTCCAGACTATAGACTATTCTATATTTCAGACTATAGACTATTCTATAGTCCAGACTATGGACTATTCTATAGTCCAGACTATAGACTATTCTATAGTCCACACTATAGACTATTCTATAGTCCAGACTATAGACTATTCTATAGTCCACACTATATACTATTCTATAGTCCAGACTATAGACTATTCTATAGTCCAGACTATGGACTATTCTATAGTCCAGAGCATGGACTATTCTATAGTCCAGAGTATGGACTATTCTATAGTCCAGACTATGGACTATTCTATAGTCCAGACTATGGACTATTCTATAGTCCAGACTATAGATTATGTTATAGTCCAGACTTTAGACTATTTAATAGTCCAGACTGAAGGCTATTCTATAGTTCAGCCTATATACTATTCCATATTTCAGACTATAGACTATTCTATAGTCCATACTATAGACTATTCTATGCTCCAGACTATAGACAATTATATCAACTGTTCGTACCACGCTTTAATGGCTATTTAGTACCAAAATGTGTACGTATTCTATTACCCATCACTAATAACTAAAGCACAAAACAATGTTAGCGCCAATAGTTGAAAGCTTTTCCTGGCAAAAACACGCGGAAAAAGCTTTTCATTCATAAATTCGTTCACAAAAACTTCCGGTGATTGTAAATAGAGTAAATGTGTGTGTGTGTGTGTGTTGTTAACACACACATTTAAAGATTACACTTGTTGCCAATACTTAGATTTTGGGGGGCATTATTTACGCTAAAGTTCTGAAACATTTACTATGTTTAAAGCATTTTTAAGAATTCAAGTATCCAATCATCTTCAGTTGCGGTTGTAAGGTCGTTGATAACGGACGTGTTATAACGGTTAAATAAATTATTTAAAAAGTAAAGAAGTTTATTGTGATAAATCAATTTACGAAAGCTAACGTGCGATTATATTCTTATAGGTGTTTGTTTTAAATTTGACATTTTTTATGAAGTGTTAAGAAAAAAGAAATGATAAAAAATTGTTGGGATATAAAGCTATGATTCTACTCCCACAGTTGAATGTAAAATTTGCAAATAAAGTTGTTGCTATAGAAAGAATGTTGCATATTTAAGTTAATCTAGCAAAAAATACATAAATTGTTGCAAATTGTCTGGAAATTTTCTAATTAAAGAGAAGAAAATTAAAATTTAAAGAAAAGAATTTTTTTTAATTTAAAGAAAAGAAAATTTTTTAAAATTAAAAAAGTGTTTTTGATGAATTCAAGAAGATTTAGTATTGTAACTTTATAAAAGTATTAAATAAAAAAATTCAAAATCTAATTTTGAAAATTAAAAATTTACATCTGTAAATATTTCTAATAATATTTGAAATATTGTTTAATTAACATAATAAATAAATTAAAAAAAAAAATTAAATATGAAATAAAGAGTAATTTTTAAAAATATTTTTAAAATAGTAAAATAATTTAAAGCATTTCAAGAGTGTGAAAAAGTGCTTATAACCAAAAAGATAGCAATAAATATTTAAAAATTATTGAGACAATTTCGCAATTTATTAAATAAATTTTTAAAAAAAAATGTAAGTGAA